CCAAGACTCTGAAGCTGGCAGATGTCATCGTGTTGGATTTACTTGTTTTGTTTTCTGTTTCAGCACTGAGCTTTAAAGAGACAGAGAGGAGGAAGGCAGGGCCGGCTGTGACCCGCATGCAGATCCCCGTGTGCACACCGGCACTCCTAGGGCCACCCCGCATGCGACCCTTAGCCCTGTGGGGCCTGCGCCCTCGGCTCTTCTCTCCTCCCCGCAGACACTGCTCGCAGACGGGCCGGCTGTCTTCCTCTCCTGCTTCCGACACCCCCATCTCGTCCACTTACAACAATAAACAGAAAAAGCAAAACAGTCTCTAATGTGCAAAATCATCCTCACGTACAACCTGGCAGAAATAGTTTTTAAAAAGTAAAGTACAAAACATGAATGACAAATGGATAATAGCAGATTTCTTTCTCTTAAGAAAATACCTTTCTGTGCTTTCTGCATTTCTTGGTGTTTCCTCTGTATTAAAAATGCATACCCTACTTTTCTTTGGCTTTTATGGAACAGGGCTGTAGCGCAAGCTGGTCTGGAACGCAGCTCCTCCTGCTTCAACCTCCCAAGCGCTGGGATTACAGGCGTGTACCACCACGCCCAGCAGGAGATGCGCTGTTTTCCAATGTGCTTCTTCTCTAAGCTGACCGCCCTGCCGCCCCTCACTGCAGCATCCTATGGAGACACTGCACGTGACGCCCACTCCCCCACTTCTGCCGACTCCACGCACCCCGTGGAGCCATCTCTCCGCCCAGCCCCAGCTTGCCGGGCCTCTCGGGTCACCCTTCCTGCCTGCCTTCCCTTGCTCAGGAGATGCCCTCTGCTGCCCCAGCCAGCCAGCCAGCCAGTCCACGCGCCTACCCAGGCCCTCTCTGGCTGCCCCTTCCAAGGTCTTCTGCTCCCCCAGGTCTCCACCCTCCCTTTTCCAGAACAAACCCAGCCAGAGCCAGGACGGCACTGAATTCTGAGTGTCTGCATAACCAGCGCCTGTCACCCACCATGTTTTGATGCTCAAAAGACAGTGACCTAAGGATGCACTTGGAGCGATCAAGAAGGATGATAAACTTTTAAAATGTATTGAAGTGAGAGAAAAGCCACTACACCGCCCTTTGGAACATTCAGCCCACTGCCACACCTTCGCCCCACCCAGCTGCTGCCTGCAGCAGCTCTGCGGCCTTCTCTCCTGAGGGTCTTCGGTTGTGTGGTCCTGGCCACCTCAAGGGGCTGAACGGGCTCAAAATGTTTCCCTTTCTGGTCACCCTGATGGGAGAAGAGCCACAAGCCACACAACGCCCAATCCAGCCAATAAGGTGGACAGGACATCCTGTTCTTAGAAGTCGGCCTCGCAGCTGGCTGGTGCCTGGGCTGCCACGCTTTGGTCATGCCTCATAAAGAGAGGCACGGATGAGAGAGGCCTCCAGGGCTGCTGCAGCAAGTGACAAGCGTGACGGGAGAAGTGTGTCAGACGTGAGGGTGAGGGCTCTGAAGGAGTGTGATGGCAGTGTCTTTTACTAAAATAATTTTATTTCGCCGTATACTGGGGTAACTGTCTTGTGCAGAAATACCATTTTATCTGTTATTACATACTAGCTTCTCACCTATAGAAAAGGTAAATGAGTAAGGAGTAAAAATTGCAGATTGTCCCAAAGAACTGATATTTTAATATAGATGAAGGCAACAATTATAGCATTTCTGGCTTCTAAAAGCCAACACAGTTCTCCCACGGCAGCCTTCTGCGGTCTGGGCAGCGCTGGCTGCTCAGGGAGGTCTCTCCACCTCGAGTAGCTCCTGTGCTACTGTGCCCCTTCTTCTAGTTTGGGATCGATCTCTTTAGATAAAATCATCTAAAAGTTTAATCTTCATAATAAAATTGTCAAGTCGTCTTAATTTCTTAGCTTCTTGCTCACTCACGGTGTCACCTAACAGATTTATAAGTCAACACTTATAAATCTATAACTTCTACTTTTAAAAAATAGAAAAATATATCTTTCTTTTTGGCAAGGAAAAGTAACACAATAACATTCTTTCTACTTAAATTTACTGCACATTTGGGGGTTTTATTTTGGGGGATTTTCGACAGGGTCTTGCTGTGCTGCTCAGGCTGGCCTTGAACTCACTACGTGGTCCACGTGGGCCTCAACTTTCGGTGACACTCCTGCCTCAACCGCCTGAGTGCTGGGATTACAGACATGTGCCACCGCACCCAACTTGCATATATTTTTAAGGGCCATCAACTTTAATACAACTATCTTTTGTAATAGAACATTCAATGAGGTATAGTCACAGGAAATCTGTATCTGAAGAACTCAGGATTTTTAAAAGTAATAGTTCAAAGGTGTCTCACATTCCAAACTAATTAGTTCTGGTGACAAAATCATTGCTAAATTTTGTTAGAAATTCCCACGCCTCCCAAAGAAATGAAGCCAGTAAAGCAGTCTCGCTTTGTGAGCATTCATGTGACAACTGTTAACCAAATGCTACAAAGTATGCTGCTTTATCAGAGAGGCCTAAAGTGAGAAGAGAAGGACACTGTGGCTGTCGGGAGATCTGGGGACACTTCTTGCAGGGAAGGGACACAAACCTTGAGGGGGGACAGACCTAGGGAAGTCATTCTAGGCTGCTGCATTTGGATGCTGAGTGTCCTCTCAGACCCCAAGTACTGAAGGCTGAATCCAAAGGCTGGCCCTTCCGGGAGAGGGTGGAAAGAATGATCCGAAAGAGAACCCAGCCAACCCCCAGACACAGGGTGTGTGCCCCAAGGGACTGGGGGACATTCCACCTCCTCATGCTCTTGTTCCCCTCCCCCACCCTACTCAAGATGGGAGCCTTCCATTCCAGCAGATGCACCCCAATGCTGCCATCCACATCAGGCAGCGACACAGCCAGGGGTGGCCTTCCTGAGCCAACTCTATGCTGTCTGGACTACACGAGTCTAAAACTGTGTTCTAAACAAGATTTTCTCTTTATAAATCCAACTGCCTTGGGCATTTTGTCACAGTAATGACAAACTGTACAATATATAGGCAGAGGGGACGAATGTGTGGCCTTCCTACTCACAAGGCACTCTGGGCTCCCTGCAATGGGTGATGGCTAAGATCAGGAGGGCTCTGGGCAGAGGTGTCGCAAGTACGGAGTGGGGCTGGAGGAAGACTCACCTACAGCAACACCTAGAGGCAGAAGCGAGAGGTAGGAGACCAGACACCGCCCTGACGGAAGAGCCAGGCTCAGGGTGCTGAGTGTCTTGGTCACAGACCTGGCCACGGCAAGCAGGCATGAAAGCAACCTGCAGCTGTTCCTCCTGCACCTGCAGCCTCATAAAATGCGCACTTCATTCCCAGGGAACAGTCACCCCCTTCAGACCTCCTTTGAATCGTCTCTGTGACAGACAAGTCTGACTGCACCAGTGACACTGGCCCACTGGTGGTCTCAGTGCCCATTGTGCTGCCTTTCCTGCACATCTGTGCAAGCCAGTGAGAACGCCGACTGTGTCTTCCCTGCCCCTGCTGCAAGATCTAAGGGCGGGGTCTGCCAGAGCCCCCGCCAGCCTCCCCGACCACAGAAGAGCAGCGCACTCAGTGGGCTGCGTGGGTCCTGCCCTGGCGCCCCAAGGCCTCATGGAGAGGCGAACCTCTCATGCCATGGGCATCGCCGGGCTCCATGGGACTTCACATCCAGCCCAGCTGTCCCCAACTCCACAGGGTCAGCAGGGCTTTGCAGCAGTGGGCGTCTACAGTGGCCTTACCATCCCCACATTACAAGCCGAAGACTGTGGCGGAGTACAGAAGGGTTCCTGAGTGCAAGGAGCCTCCTGTGGGAGTCGGCCCTCAACCACGTCCCACAGCCTGCAGTCAGCTCGCTGCTGGCCACGGTGAGCAGTGTCTTAGTCTGTCTTCTGTGGTTTTCACAAAACACCTGAGGCCAGGTAAGTTACAAAGAATAAGATTTCATTTGCTGCATGGATCTGGAGGCTGAGAAGTCGAGAACCAGGCTTGGCACACGGTGAGCGCATGTTTGCGGCCTTGCAACCCGAGATATGGTGAGAGGAAGCAAGCTGTAAGCTCAGGCCCCTCCCCCTTCCTGCGACACCCCTGCAGCCACCATGGGCCCTGTCCTGACCCAATGTTGTTGAGACAAAGTACCTAACACCCACAATGACGGAAAGGTTTATTTAGCTCACTGTTCAGTTTCAGTCTATACTTGGCTGGCTCCAAGGCAGGGCACAGGGCAACCATTCAAGATGGCGGAAGACAGCAAAGAGTGAAACGAGGAGCAGCGCAGAGCAGGCCTCTCTCCCCCCCTTACACTGCACGCAGGCTGCCAGCCCTGGGCGGGGGCAGCACGCACACCAGAGCCCCAGCACGGGACATGGATCGATCACAGACTCTAGAGGCCGCCCCATGACTGCGTGAGGCTTTGAGAGGACATCGAGACACAAACCGTAACAGGCCCCTCCCCCGTGACCCCATCCAGTCTCATTCACCTCCCAAAGCCCCTCGCCCCAGACAACACCACACACAGGCTTGAGGGCCAAGTTTCCAACGTGAATACCGGGAAGATCCATCCAGACCATGGCGGACGGTCATCCGCAGTCATACAAATGTCGGGCTGTCGACCTGAAAAGTCAGTGTGCATGAGCCGAGCACCGGCCTCTCCTCTCACCGAGCCCCAAGCCCTGCAGGCGCAGGGGGCAGGAGTTTCAATCTCAAAATCACTTCTAACTAGAAAAAATCTCTCTATGAGGTGAGACCGAAATGCAACTAAACATTACCTTCTCCCAGGAGTCTGAGTTAAAGTGCCTGGAAAACTGGAAGGCTAAAACAAAAAGCCCCACCTGGGAACAGTCTTCCAACAGCCTTGGAAGGCCCCTGGTAATCTTCACACGTGCCTAGCACAGAAGGTAGTTCCAGTCCTCTCAGCCAGTCCTGCAGGGCTCCGAGGGTCACAATCATGAGAACAGCACTTTCCTCAGAAAGAGAGCAGGAAATAGAGTAACAGTAAATACTCACGCATCTTTAGCTGCTCCTGCAGGGCCTAGGGAGAGAAACAAAGACAGGTTTGTACTGGCGTGCAAGTGCTGCCGCAAGCATGTTAAGCCCAACACCTGACCGCGAAAGCATTCTAGAAGGGACAAGGTTTTAAGACATCATTTCAGAGAAGGTCAGGAGAGGGCAAGGAAGTCATAAAATCTAGTTCCTGTTTCAAATCTTACATTTCAGGATGTGTTCCGCCCACTTCTGTGAATGCCTCTAAACAGCATGGTGCTGGTGCAAAAGGGTTAGTTCCAGTCACCTAAGCCCATTTCCCATGGCATGGGTGAGGAAACTGGCAGATTTTTAAAAATTTTTTGCTTTCATTTATTCATTTATTCGCAGCTTGAACTCGCAGTGATCCTCCTGTCTCAGCCTCCCCAGCACTGGGATTACAGGCATGCGCCACCTTGCCAGGTTTCCAGAGCCAGTATGCCATGTGGTACCAGGGATCAAACCTGGGTCCTTGCACTTGCCAGACAGGCATGTAGACCACCAAGCTATCTCCCTAGCCCAAAACTGGCAGATCTGAGCAGCATTTTCTCTGCTATGCCCCATGCTTCCTAAACTGGCGTCCGCACTGCAGTGCTCTGAGTCATAACTGTGTGCTGGTCACCAAGCGACTGCTTAGTCACAGGATGAAATGGTGGTGCTCAGGAGTCTCCAGAAGACCAGCCTCGTTCTGGGAACCACGCGCACCTCTAGCCCCACTGTCCCTCGCTGGCTTTTGCCACTCATCTCTCCCTGCTGCTTCCTGTCCCTGCATCCACACAGAGGACAGAGAGCTTGCACTTGTTATTTCAACCTCTTGAAACCTCACTTCCCTCCTGGGTCCAAGGAGAGGACTCAGCACTTCCTCAGACTGCTGGAAGATTTAGGAAGGCGGTGTGTGTACGTACATACGCACACTTCTGCTTAGCTCCATTTCCGTCCCTAGGAAATGGAAATTAAATAACTTCCTCGCAAGCCACAGGGATTTGAAAAAAGGCAGATGTGCTACAAAGTAAAGGAAAACGCAGGAAGAGTAAGTCTCTAAATTACAAGAACTATATCCTGAGAACCTTAATTTAGGATGTGTAATAGTGCAGGCGAGAAGCTCATCATGAAGATGATCCAAACTACACCTCAAATACGTTCTTTTAGGCCTTTCATCAAACCTGCACTTTGCAATAAACTTAGTATTAAAGTCTCTTCAAAAAGACTAACACACACACACACACACACACACACACACACAATAGTTAAGATCATTACTAATTTCTCTTAGTTCATCAAAAAGGTTTGTGCTAATATTGTTTAGACAATTAAATAGCTGTATCTTGTACTCTGATGTGGGGGGCCACCTGGGAGACCCTCTCTGAAGAGCAGCAATCGCCTCCATTCTGACGGAGCCTGCCCTTATTTCTACGCGCAGAGCCAGCTAGGACTTCTCAGTTGGCTGTAAGCGACGCCCATCGGTCCAGCTGAGGTGCGGCCAGGTGTGTTTCCTTGGAACCCTGACCCGCTGCTTCCTGCTGTGAGCTAGGTCGATGGGGTGACGAGCCAACGCCCCACACTGTGCGCTGCGCTGAGCCTTAGACAGAGGCTGTGACTTCCTGGGGCTCGAAAGGTCACACAGCAGAGCTGAAGCACCGGAACCCAACATTAGCTGCTAGCTCTGCATACTGTAGGGGTGAATGCAGGCCTCCTACCCAGCCCAACTCACAGCACTCACCTACTTCCTGTCAGCCACTCCTTTCTTCAAGAATGAATAAATGTACCAGTCTTACAAAAAAAAAAGCAGAGATACAGAGAGTGCCAGAGCCCTAAGAGGCATCCAGCGCCATCCAGGGAGGAGAGTCAGAGAAACTGTCTCCCCACATCTCGGGGTAGTGTGGAGGCAGAAGACCCGAGCGGGCTTCCTCCACGGTGTGCCCAGCAGTCAGTAAGTCATCTCGCTCCTGTGTCTGCAGAGTGGGGACACACTGCCCCACAGTGACAGCTAGGAAGGCAGAGCAGTGACACGCATGAAATGATTCATACATGGCAATGTGTCCCCATCAGCAGATTTTAATCCACTGCCAGGAGCTGTCCCACACTCACTGAGATCGCTGCCAGGGGCCAGCGGGAGGGCCTCTCCCTGCTGTGGTCCCCATTCAGTGACTCAGCAGCTCCAGCTCAGTTCAGGGGAGGCTGGATCACCTTAGCCAGCAATCACCCCTTCTCTCCTAAAACCGCCCTGGCTTGGAAAGGCAGCGTCTAGTTAATACCTGCAGCAGCAGGGACTTCAAACACTGCCTCAAGTGCCTGTGTGTGACTGGAAAATGCACTGGATTTTCAAAAGCAGAAAATACACATCCTAGGAGAGGGTAACTCAGTGGTTAACAGAAAACCTACAACCAGGAGAGAACAGGGCAGCATCCAAGTTCACACAGTAACAACAGCAGGAAATATGATCCTTGGAACTCCTGGAAATCCCCGCAAAACTCTCCAAGATCTGAAGCAAAAAGTACAGCCCTCGCTGCAACATTATAAGCACCTTTCGCTTAATTATGTAATTAATCAGATCGAGACTTCTGAGACGACTTATGCAAAAGACCACTCTGCCCAGAACTGTCCCGGCGGCAGCGACACCACCCACCTGACCTCAGCTGTGTTTGCCATTCCCGCGATGCAGCGTTTATTAAGCAACATGCACAGTGGCGCGTCTGGCCCCGGGAGAGAGGCCATTGATCCCTGCTAATGTCACTTCACTTCCTGACACGCTGGCTCTCTGCTGCTCAGACAAGCCACGCTGGCCCGTCTGAGGGCCTTGGAGGAAGAGCTGGAGGGGCAGCAAGGCTTCTCAGGAAAATAAAAGGAGAGCAAAGCAAAGCTCCGGACAGCACAGAGAGTCGTGCCGTGCCGAGCGACTGGACTGCACGTTCCCGAAACTGTGTAAGTGATCATCGCCATCCTCATTATCTTCCTGAAAGACAGAGAGGAGAAGGCTGGGTTTCAGAAAAGAACCAAATGCAACTTCAGGAACAAGCAGTACCTGCGCCGCTGGCAGCCGCGGGCCTTCCCTGCTGAACAGAGCCCGAGCCGGTGTCACTGCTTATTCCGCCGGCTGTCCCAGGGGCACGTCATCTCTCCAGGACCGTGTTTATCTCCTACTTTACATCCTGGGCAAGCTTCTGTCGTTCTACTCGTGGGTCTCAATGCCAAAAGTCTCAGTTACTTAAAAATACGAGCAACCCCAATTTATGGGACACTCAAAACTGTAACTGATACTGGGACAGCACCAAAGGAGGCCCAGTCTCCTTCCCCGCTTGCTGGCACAGAGCTCCTAAAACCCTGGGAGCTTCCCAACTGACAGGGGGACAGGAGCCTTCATTCCTGGAGCGAGGTGGCCCTGAGCAACTTCAGGACCGGGCTGTGATGGGGAGCTCAGGCAGGGACAGGAGTGGCCTGGTGCTGGAGCTCGGCCTCCCATTCCTGTCACTCACAGGCACGCCTAAGGCCCGCCCCCGGGTCACCCCAGCACTCTCCTCTCAGCAGTCCTTCACCTCCCATCTGTAGAGACCCTCTATGCAAAGAAGGTCCCAGTCACGCACCCTGGGCTAGGAACCTGGACACCTCCCCCGGGTTCCCCAAGCCGTAACAATCTCGTCCTAATATCCTCCCTCTCCTCCAAAGCAATTAATTCTGTGGGCGTGGGTGTGGCTCCAGGGTACAGTGCTTGCCCTGCAAGTGCAAGGACCTGGGTTCGATCCTCAACAACATCAAAAGTAGAACAAAAGTAAATTTGAAAAACATATGGCCAATTAATACTCAGGCAGGAGTACAATTAACATAGCAGTCCACACGCGCCTTAAACACAAAGACAAGGCCATTCCTGGTGAACGAGAGGACACGCCAGCTGTAGGGCTCTCAGGTCCCCATCAGGTCAGGCATCCTAAGCGGGAGCGTCCATCACCTTGCGCCCCGGGGCCTGGCAGACAGCAGAGCTCTCTCTGTCAGCACGTGAGCCAGGCCGCCCAGCATCGTGCCGGCAGCCGAGCATTCAAGTCTAGCTGCAGGGATGGCACCTGGTGATAAGTGGGTTTGGGTGCAGTCTGGCGCGTGGTTTCTAGAAGGTTCGCCATCCCTGCGGATCCCAGAGAGCTCATTTTCATTCACATGCCGCCAATCGGAGCACATCTGAGATCCCAGGAACTGCACTGTGCAGAACACACTCAATACAGGTCAGATTCATACAGCACTGCTGTGAGGGGCCCGCACACGGCCCAAATTCTTACATGAAGAACATACTGCTCACTTGGGCCACTGGGCTACCTCCCCTGGCCCCTCATCTCCTTTAAAACAGATCATGTACTTTTTTTTTTTTTTTTTTTTTCAGAACCAGGGATTGAACTTATGCCCTTGCACTTGCCAGGGAGGTGCTTATTCTACTGAGCCATCTCCCGGGCCCCTAGATCGTGTACATTTTTACATTTGAAAAATAGCCCATTATTGTCTTTTTGATCACTTTACAGTATGTGCTTTATAGAGTTTATAAAATATACTGAAAATATTCATTGCTAAGTAAGTTGCTAGATTATATATTAAGTCATAATTCATTCTCCCATGGGTGGTGAGAATTCACACACATATACAACTAACAGTACTAAAAGTAAAATTACATACATGGGGAGTTTATAAAAATTACAACAGACTTACAAATCATTGGTCAGAAACATAATGACTTGAGAGAGGCAGTAAAAGCGTGCAGGGACGGTTTATTCTTTGTTTTATAAAACAAAAAGTTCCACTGAGAACTGTATAAACATAATCACAGCAAAAAAATAAAAAAAGAAATTCTCTTTCATTCTGACATCTGCTGTGACATCCTCTAACCCATAATAGTTCTAATATGTCACTGTCTCAGTTTAGCCAAAAGCAATGAAACAACACATATTATTTCATCAAAAGCAATGTTTATTTTTAAAAAGTAAAAAAAAAAGAGTCACGGTCATTGGCGGGGTCTGCCCGACAGACGCACATGCGGGCTGTGAGCACCGAGGCTTCAGGCAGAGCTCCAGGCTCTGAGGCCCTCCTGCCCAGCAGCTCGCAGGGAGGTGAAAACTTCAGACAGAGTCGCACACACGGGGTCGGACAGGCTTCCAGCTGCCCCAACAGGGCTCAGCCAGGCCTGTGTCAAACTGCAAGTGGCTCCTGCAGAAGCGGCTAACTCTCTAGGGTCAGCTTCGTGAACTCTTCCCAGGGTGGCAGCGGGACCTAGGGATCTAGAGTGACTCGGAGACACTCCTGATTCTGTCTCCTGCGACAACCGTCTGAGCAGAGGCCCCATCCCCTCATGCACTGGCACTTGGAGGAGCTTCTTCCGAGTGGGCAAAGGAAGGCATCCCCTGCCCCCAGGGCTGCAGCCTCCTCCAGTGCACAGACTGGAGCCACTGGGCTTCCTCCTCCAGCCCGGGGAGCCCCTCCTGCCCCCTTTCCCTGCCCTTTACAGATGCCTTCCACATAGGGGGTGGGCCATAGGGTGCACACGGTAGGTCTCCCTACAATACCCAGTGCACTGAGCACCCGGAATGCACAAGGCAGCGTTCCCAGCCACGTGGACGCAGGGACTGACACCATCTCAAGCGTAGGCTCTGTTACTACTCCTACACTTTACAGGTGAGACACAGACAGCTTCAGCAAGCTGCCCAACATTACACAGCCCATCAACAATAAAAGTAAGACTCAAGGTTGGGGCTAGCCCCCTCCCTGGCTCCCCTCTTTGCTTCCTGGTGGCCAGGATATGCGCAGCTTTCCTCCACCAGAGCCCTCTAGGCAAAAATGGGCACCAAAGTAAAGCTCCCTTCAAGGTGCTGGTGCCAGGCATCCAGTGCCTGCAGGAGAGTACATGCATTCATTCAACAAATATGTTTTGAAATTTTTTTTTTTTAAAAAGCCCACTGAAGGTTTGAGGCTGGTCTGTAGGCTGAAGATATGGCTGAGAAGAAATGGGGTTCTCAGGCCTCCGGGTGGGAACCAGGACACACGAGATCAGAAAGAAAATGTCAGCTCTCTGGCAAAGGTGCCCCAGCCAGGGCACCAAGGCCTGGAGCGCGGGTGGGCCCTGCGCTCTCCCTAGGAGCGGGCAGGGAGCCCCACACGACTGCCAGGCCCTCTCGGCTGCCATCAACAAGGTCTGCCTCACGTCCCCACAGGTGGGCTCTCCCCCGAGCACCCAGCACAGACTCAATGTTTCCAACCACCAGCAGACAATCAAGGCCAGGCGAGGGGAGATGCCCCAAGAGAGAACGCAGTCATCTAGCAAATTGAGGACAAGGAAATAACTAAGCTAAATACCTGGACCCAAAGGAGTCCATTAATTCCCTAGGGACACTGATACAATAAGACAAGTAATCATCAAGCTCTTCCTCTGACTGTCGTTATATAAAAAGCAGAAGAGCCATTTTAGGGATGTTCTGACAACCAACCATCCACCAGTGATGCTCACACTGTGGCCAGTCGCGTCTCTGACAAAAATTACAACTAACTGGTTATCAAGAGCCAAACGCTTCTAAAGTAAGTCTCCTGAGGAAAGTAAGTAGCAGGCTGTTTTAGAGATGTGCAGCCACCAGAACTTTTAAGGGATGTTGCGCCTTACATAATAAGGGATTTTCTGGCTGTACCACTCGCTCACCAGGCTGTAACTACCAAGTACAGCAGTCCCTCGCTATTCTGTGGTTCGACTTTCGTGGACTCACTGTTTCGTGGGCTTTCAAGGAATATTAAATTATTTATTGCAGACTTTTCTCCATAATGCAGGATCTTGCAGTAACGTACTGTAGACATATGTTAAGATTACATAGGTTTACGAGTTGAGAAAATGGTTAAGAACAGTAGAAGTGTTTTTAAAAGTGTGGGAAAGGTTTATAAGGGTGTGGGAAGGGTTTAGAAAGCCTAATACACACAATGCCACTTCTTCACTGATTTTCACTTATTGCAGGCTGTCTGGAACATGACCTCCGGGGTAAGCGAGGGACCTCTGTACTTCTTTAGGTAAAAAGGCAGGTGTTCATCTCTCTGCCTTATTATGGGATATTCAAGGAACAACAAAAAGATAAAGTGCCTGGTGGGCGTGGGAACAGCACACCTCAGCACAGCTCTCTGCTTTACAATAAATATGACATTTTTAGAGACTAACCTAATCCAGACGGCTCTCCAGAGGTTAGGGTTAGGGCCCAGGCTTGTGCAGGAAAAATGTCCCAAATCCTCACAAAATGACGAGCTCTCCTACTATAGACCTAGGCTTGGAAAAATCAAATTCCTCTTTTGAGACAGTAATAGTCTCAAGACCTGCAAATGGGGAGCTCTGTGTACAAAGACTTCTCACACCCCAAGGGGCAAAAAGCTCCTCTCCTCCTCTGGGAAGCCTTCTCGGATAAAACGCTGTCACCCGCCACCTCCCAGGCACATGGATGCCCAAGGCGCGTTCTGCTCTACCCTGTTTGGCAGCAGCTTTCTCACCACTTCTCCTTGCCACCTACACCATCCACTTCCAACAGGAAAATCTGATTCCAGCCAATGATCATCCGCGGCTGGCTGCCCTCACCTCTGTGCTAAAAGTTCTTACAGAAAATCTTACATACAGGGTGGACACACCCGGGCTGCAGGTAGAGAGCGTGGGGTTAAAGCTGCCTGAATTCTGACAGGGCACTCCATCTCCCCTTCCTTAGAGAATAGGGCATGGTGGCACATGCCTATAACCCCAGCCCTGAGGAGGCTGAGGCAGGAGGATTACAGCAATCCTTATAACCACTGCACCATTTTATTCTGCTGCTGTGGCTTGTCTGGATCCAGTTCACCGAGGTACCTTACTGCCTGTCAGTCTGTCACTGTTACCAAGCTCACTGGCCTGAAGCCAAGCATGGCCACTGTCTAGGCAGCTCAAGAAAGGGTTTACCTGAATTACTCAGGGAACAGAAGGGAGCCCAGGGAGGTGACTTCCCATTTGGCGACATTATCACGATGTGTGACGTGTCAAAGCAGCTTTGCCATTTTCTTGCAGAAAAGTATCCCAGGAAAGCTGCTTTCCGCTGGCACAGGGCAACAGCCTTGAGTCCAACATGGGAATTAGTTACAGAGCACTTGCTGGCATCATCTGATTCTGAGTTTCAGGGCTGATGAAGGCACCAAAGCTCAGAAAGTGAGAGGAAATGGACACCACAGTGGCACAGCAGCAGGCGCCAAAGCCCAGCACAAGCCCCTGCCAGGCTCTCTTGCCGCCGCCCCTCCTTGTACTTACAACTGAAGGGCTGGACTCCTGGGACATGTCGGAAGCTGTGCTCCACGGGCACCTGGAGGACGGGACGACATCTGTTGGTCCCCTCTCACACCGCAGCTCGAGTTCCAGGCAAGTCTGCAGCATGGCCCACACAGCCCTGCACGCTAAGCTCAGTGCCTGTGGGCCAACGAGGCTCCTGGCCCTTGCACTGTGGCGTCCCTGCCGTCTCATCTTGCTGCACTTCCCTTTTGAAAAGAAATCCCCACCATGACGGAGAGAAAACAGCTGCGGCCAAACCCCAAGGCCAGGGAGAAGAGGGGCTGGGAGATGCTCAGAAGGAGCTTCTGGGCAGGGAGGGTTTTATAGTCTGTGCTTCCTTCCTCGCGCTTTCCTAAATGTAAGGCTACTGTCACCCAGAAGAGGCTGGCAGGGAGAACACACACGCTTAGCTGCGTGCGTTCATCCCTCGCACACGAAAGCAAACAAAAGCCACGCAGCGCATATGAACGTGAACAGTGAGTCTTTTTCAACAAAACTATACCTTCACAGAGTAACAGACATTCTCCTAAAAGATCATTCAAATACTCACAAGGAAAATCATTTCCCCACGAAATATGACTCTTATGCTAACACTTCGGAGGTAGTTTATTATATCATCCTGATTTTCATCTAGTAATAAAACATCTCCACACCCCCAATCTCAACAGAAGTTCATTAACAAAAATGTAAATGCACTAAGGTAGCTCCATGTTTAAAGAAATCTGTCATGTATCTTTCCAACAGTCTTTTTAAACATGGATAACTGTTCTTAGCTTCTTCTTTTGTTTTTAACACAGACTGTAAGTAGACTTCACAGCACTGGCTCCATGGGGCCACCCCATCTTACAACGTTGAGAGACACAATCCTGCACTCCCATGCACCCTGGACACGGGCCGTGGTCTCTGCGTACAGCCAGCCAGCCTCCAGTCCAGCTCCTGCCCTTGTCCTCATCAGCACAGGCACCACCTAACAGCCCCTGACCCCTGCCTGTTCCCCAGGATCTCTCCACCGGTCACAGGAGCAGATTTCACTCCAGGATGGTAATGGTTATCTGTAACACATAAACTTTACAGCTAATCGCTGCTGGTCCCACTCACCCCACTGAGACTGGAATGCCACCTACTGTAGCCTTTTCTCTCCAAAGAGAACAAACATGCCACAGGCAGGACCACCGACAGCCAGGAGGGAAAGACAAACTTGCCCAGTGAACAGAACAGATTCCTACACCACTCTAATTGGTGTGAGGATTCAAGTCAACTAAACTAAGCCAGGTTCGGTTCGGGTTCGGGAAGTGGCAGGCCCAAGGTCACAAAGCCCCAGACAGGGTGTGCTGCCCTCCTGGGACACTGCAGTGTCAGGAGCTCCTGGCTCTGCGGGCTGGGTGGGAGGCGCAGGAGCGCTGATCCGAAAGGACTCCGTTGAAGGTCTGCAGGGAAAGCCCGAAACAGATGGGAAGATCTTCCACCCGGCCACAGGACTGGGTCACAAGCAAGGTCCGAGGCTTAGGATAATACGAACCTGGACACACGCCTGCCTGGCCCAGAACAGGACTTGCCTCCCCTCAACACAAGGGAGCAGCCCAAGTTCCATTTGTGTTTCAACGAAGCCTGGCCACTCGGGTCAGCTCATCCAAGCCTCGGCCCCCCCGGAGGCTCCGCACCCCAGCCCTGCAGAGTCTGGACCGAGCAGCGCCGCTTCCGCACACCCCAGAGCAAGAGGCCCGGAGGGACCCTGGTGGGACAGGAGGGATCGGCGGGGACCCGGACCGGGGACCTACCGGCCGGCTAGGGGAGGGCCCAGCACCCCGCCCTAGCGCCCCGCGGTTCCTCCCGGGCTCGCAGGCCAGATGTGGCCGCCCCAGGGCTGATCTGGGTCTGGGGCCTCGGGAGGGACGGCGCCCCCTCCCGCCCCGCCCCGCCCCACCCCGGCCGCTCACCTCGGCCCGCGCCCGAGCCCGCGCCAGCCGCCGTGGAGTTCCCGCAGCCCATCGCCCGCGCCGACCACCACACTCCGAGCTCGCCGTGGTCCGGGGCGGGGCTGAGCCGGGAGGGGCGGGGCGGCGGGAGCGGGCACCGGGGGGGGGGCCCGGGGGGGGGGGGCGGGGGGCGCGGACCCAGCGGGTGCGGGAGCCGCCCCCGACAGCCAACGCCGAGAGCGCGGAAACCGCCGGACGCCCCAGCCCGCGCCCTCCCGGGGCCTCCGCCGGACCCGCCCGTCGCCTCGGCAACCGCTGCGCCTGCCAATCCGCAGCCTCCTGCCAGCTCTGCAGCCTCCCATTGGTGGGTAGGAAGGGGCGGGAGAGGGGTCCTGCGCGGGGTTGCCCACCTGCGGGGCAGTGGTCAGCTCCCCACTGCTGGGACTCAGGGGTGCCTGACAAGGAGGACGGGCTGGCGGACCAGTACCGAGCCGCGTGGACACTCTAAAAGCCAGTGGCCTGCTCTAGAGGAAACTAAAGCAGTTTCGCCCAAACACTGCCGTGATGGGGGGGACCTAAATTCTTCCCCAGGTCTGTCCTGTTCCTTATTTGGGCAGATTTAAAATAAGTGCCGCGAAGCGGACTCACTGGGTAGGGGTCTGCGCTCGGTTGAGTTACAGAACTGTGAATCGACACTGTGCCCTTCGACACAACTTTTGGGCAAGTGTCATCGAAGTCAGACTGGGTTCCAGCCTGGGCCCTGACCCCAGGGCCTGCAAGGAGGCAAGAGCTGAGGTACATGCAAACCTCCAGCGCGGCCACTGATTGCTGCCCAGGCCAGCTCTGATGATTATCTCTCTTAACTCGGTTAGGAGTGAAAGCCAAGCCTGGGGTGAGGACTCCCTGGTGTTTTAGTGACCTCCTGGCTCCCGGCAGAGACTCAGTAGAGCAAATTCAAGTCAGAAATTAAAGCTCCATTTTAAATCCACTAATATTTATAGAGAGCCCAGCGTGTGCCAAGTTCTTTGTGAGTTCCGGAGAAGAACATGTGGGAGACAGAACTGTCTGGCAGCCGATTATAAACAAATTAACTGTTGTATTGCAAGGGTGCCAGCAGAGTCCAGGGTACCGAGAGAGCCCAAGAGAGCCTGGCTCGAAGACTCCCAAATCCAAACAGTTGTGGTTAGAGAAAAACCTCATCTGGAGCCAGGGCCCTGGCTGACCTTTGAACGGGACCTTCAAGACGATGGTGTGCACTTGCTCATTTTATCAATCAGACTGTAAGGCGTACACCATCCTCCACATCAGCATGGTCCTGTCCTGAGGGGATACCAACTCTCAGACAATTAGGGGCATTCTTTTCCATTCATCTCTATAAGTTCTGCTTCTCTGCCTTGGCCTCTACTGTGGTCACCCCAATTCAAATCCAGAACTGGGTGGTGGAGCCACAGGAAATATTCTTGCTTATTTCTGGGCCACCTGATACTGCTCACCAGCCCGAGGGCACTTGAGGAAAGAGAAAAACAGACCCCGACATCCAGAAATGGACCTGACCCTCCAAGCCAGACTTCTGCTTTTTCCTATTAAACGTGGGTACACAAAGCACTGATTTCCACAAGACCATTCCCTAGCTGGGCAAAGACACAAAAGCCACTCAGTGGTCGTGTCTAAGTTGTGACCAAAAACAAAGTCAATCTGCAAACCACAAAACTACCCAACATCCCTTCCCTGGAAAAACAAATAGCTCATGCTGTTTTTCCAAATTGTGTATTTATTTGTTTGTTTTTACCAGTTCTAGTCTTCCTGCCTTATAAATGAGATTTATTAAGAACAGCTAGGAAATTGTCCCTACTTCCTCATAATATCCAAACCAGAGTAAAAGTCCTGCTTCCTTAATCCCAACCAAAATCACCTAATAAAAACCTGAATCATGGGATTTCTTTCTTGATATACTCTTACTGTGATATGTATGGATTGAATTGTTTTTATGCCACAAGCCATGATAAGCACACCCAGCGCAACTCAGATGTGCTCCTGGTCACCTTTGGCTGGAGGTTGCCAACCTTGTTGCTATCCAGCGTTCCACCTTCCAAGGCCACTGCCGCCTGTGTAATCTAGCCACTCGCAGCCAGTGCTGTTCAGCATCCTCTCCATGCCAGCCACTCCTCTGCCTGCTTGAGTGTGGCCAGCCACAAACAGGAAAACCCCACTGGGAGGGGTCAAATCAAAACCAAGTGAACGGAGATAATCCCAATACAATAAGGTGATAGAAAAAAAAAAACAGTTACCGGAGTAGGAGCCGAGGACTAACACAGAAGTGTCACACTGCTCACAGTAGGCTGGCCCAGGGAGTTCTGCTAGGCCTAGTAGATGAGGGGAAACCAGACATTTGACAGTTTAAGGGACGAGATTCCAGGCAAAGGGACAGCCCAGGCAAGTGTCTTGCACAGTAGCAAGCTAAGGGTGTTCAGAACACCAGCAGAGCTGGGAGGCCGGGCCAGAGCAGACATGCGGGATAGGTTGGCCAGTGCGGCCATGCGCAGGCTCCATGAGGACTTGAGACGCATGCACAAGGCAGCCTGTGGCCTCTGAGCAGGCAGTGTGGGACATTCCTAACCAAGCAAGCCTCTCACTGAGGGCGAGAAAGAGCAAACCTGGTGGCTCCTTTTCCCTTTTTTAGGGATTTATTTTATGTGATAGACAAAAGTTCATGGCATTTGCATATTTCTGAAAACAGTCAAGTGAGAATCAGCACTGCGCGCCCGACTTCCTGCTGGTGAAGGTCAGCAGCTCTGCCCACAGCTGGATGGGGTGAGCGACTGCAGTGCCACCTTGTAAGGAGGGAGGGAAAGCAGGCCGCCCTGGAATCCTCCAGACGAGTGCTCCCCATGAAGAGTGCACAGCTCGACTTGGTTTGCGCTTTTCTTTTTCCTCATGATCGGTCCCCACAATGCCAGCTGTCAGGCACATCACTCCACACAGAGCTCTGCCAGGCTCAAGGGGCTTTTACTCACCATGCTGCACCCTGCCAAGGCCAGAGGGCATCCACGTACTTCCGCATACTTCAGAGAGAGAGCTGGAGAGATGCCCCTCATGACTTCTTTTACAGCTGCTGCGTATCCTTTCGTTAGTCCTATTACATTATTATTCATTGTTGTTCCTCTCTTACTATGCCTAATTTGCAAGTTACATTTTGTCAGAGGGGTGTACATAGAGGAAAAATAGAGTAAGATAGAGCTCATGGCTGCAGGCACCCCTGGGGATCTTTGGATGTAAGTGTGCAGATAAAGAAGCACTATTGTAGATGTCTAATAACATATTTGCTCTCCAGTGTGTGTGTGTGTGTGTGTGTGTGTGTGTGTGTGTGTGTGTAGATGTGAACAGGCACTACCATGACTGTGTCTGGCGAAGGGTGGTGCAAGGCTGCTGAGTGAGACCAATTTTTTTTTTTCTTTAGAAGAGGGCCCCTTTGTTTGGAGGGGGTTCTGTGGATTAAACTTGAACCTAGAAATTTTATGCTATATTCCCCAGCCCCTTTTCTGTTTAATTCTGAGGCAAAATTTTCTAATTTTGGTCTTGCTAAGCTGCTAAGTTATCCAGGACATTTTCAAGCTTGTGGTCCTCCTGTCTCAGCTTCCCAGAGTCTGGGATTGCAGGTGAGCATCTCTCCCTGCAGCTTTGAAGGTTTCTTGGGGCTGTATTTCAATCACGTATGGACACCCTAAAATGTCAGGACCCAGGGCTCAGAACCCCAACTTGCAAGTAGACCCCCAAGGGGAGAGATGGGGTACTGAACAAATGTCCTAGTTTTCGGAGCAAGAAATGTGTCTGGTGCCTGCTGAAAGCAGCCAGTCCCCGTGACACGCCCTTCTCCCCACTGATCGCTGTGCCCCTGCTCCCTGCCTGACATTAGGTTTTTTAGTTGAAGTCTAATTTATACAATTGAACAAACCTCCGTAAGGTGGGTGATTTGGTGGCATCTAATACATTCTCGGTCTTGTGCAACCAACACCTCTGTGAAGCTCCTAAACACCTTCATCACCCCAAAAGGAAGCCTCGGAAGCAGCAGCACCCAGCAACCACTAACCTGCTCTGTCTCGGCAGAGTCCCTGTGCTGGGTACTTCACTACATGCAGAAGGGGCTCTTCTGCAGCATCCTCATGTGGTGAAAGCTGTCAGTTGCTTTCTGCTCCTGTGCACTCACGAGCCATGGCTCCGAGAGCCAGCTGGAGCCTGAGCAAAAGGGTCAGAGCAGACTCTGCCATCACCTGTGCCAGGAAGGCAATGCAAGGCCGAGCGAGCAGACAGACATGGTGCCTGGACCCTCACGAGCACCATGACAGACCGTTAACACACATGAAAAGTGCGTCAGAGTAACATGTTCTTTTCCTGGACAAAAACTACTTAGAAAATTCCCCCATTTCCTTCCAGAATTGGAGATACCCGGATGTCTAATGATCAAGATCCGAGAGTCATCAATCAACTTCTGTCAGGTGGAAGCCAAGAACAGGAAATAATGGGCCTGAAGGATTTGTTTACTTTTTTAGGACTTCTATGTTTTCCCTTGATCCATAAAAACATAAAAATCATACATATCGTCTGGGGCACCACGTGGTATTTTGATACATGCATATACTGTACAGTATTTAAGTAGGGAAAATCTTACTTAGCTCCTTAACATTCATCATTTCTTTTTCTTTTCTTTTTCTTTCTTTTTTTTTTTTTTTTTTGCGGAACTGGGGATAGAACTCAGACCCTTGCACTTGGCAGGGAAGTGTTTATTCCACTGAGCCGTCTCCCTGACCCATCATTCATCATTTCTTGATGGTGAAAACATTCAAAACACTTTCTCCTAGCTTTGGTTTATATTTTTTTCACATACTATTTTTGAAGATTTTAAACATGGTTAAATAATTTTTGATGGTTTAAAAACATGCAAATTCTGCCAATGTTATATATCCATTTACAAATTCAGTATTTGGGCATAACTCCTAACCAAATGTACTCCTTTTATTTGAATTTCATTTCAAGATGTAGTACTTTATTTTATTTTATTTTTTGTATTTTAGGGAAGGGTCTACAGGGTGTTCAGGTCTCACTACTAGGTCGGACTCATAGTGATCCGCCTGTTTACAGCCTCCCAAGAGCTGGGATTACAGGCATGCACCACCATGCCCAGACTCAATTGCTGTCTCAGTGTGCCCCAAGGGGCAGGGCTGGCATGGCAGGCCCAGGGATCGAACCCCTGGCCCCTGTGCCTGCTTACATGTGCTTTAATATGCTGAACTATTTGGCTGACCCAAGATGTAGTACTTTAAATGATAAAATACTATCCACTTAAGGAAAACCAGAGTGACAGTTA